AAACTCGCACTCAGCATTTTTCCTGTCCTGTTCGAGTTCCTTGCGGATGCGTTCCTCTGTGGTTTCCGGTGCCGGTGAGTGCACCATTGGTTCAGAGACGATGATGGCGGTAGTCGGAGGAATAGTGCTGGTACTAGTAGTGGATGCTGAGAGCCGAACGGTTACATTGAGGCTGTTCATGCGCCCTTGTCCAGCAGACAAAGACCGAGAAGCAATCGCTGTTGAATTGGTGAGCTCCCGCTGTGATACCGAGCGTGCGGATGGTTCCAATCACAGGGGATTACGATGTATGGAAGTGAACTACGTCAACTCGATTCTAACTCGCGAGTCCGACGAATTACAACTCGATTCAGCTCGGTAGGTTCGAGTTGAAACGAATTTGGTCATTTTCGAAGCGAGTCGAGTTTGACTCGATTTGAACTCACCTCGACAACAACACTACTCGGCGGAGGGCATGGTGGAGGGCATGGGATGTACGGCTATTATTAGTATCTGCATCATCAAGGCAACATGCGCAGATTTCAAACCAAAGTTTGTTTGTAATGCATCTGATGCCGTGGCCCTATGATAGTACAGCAAGATCCTTGATGCGTGAAGAATAAAGATCATGTTATCATGTAAAAAGCAAATTTGTCCTGGAAACTAAGCGGGAATCTTCATGAAAGATGCGAAATACGCGTCAAGCTCCTCGACGTGATCTAGGGACGCGATGACTCCAACGTAGCCATCAGGGCGAACAGCAACCACTGCGCCCTCAGGACCTATTCCGTAATACGAGTAACCCTTTCCCCCAAAGCTACCAGTGACATCGGCGTCGTCGATAAATACCCTAAGAATACCTCAATCAACATCATCACACATAACATAAATAAAGCACTTACTTCGACCAATGAGAGCGAAGAAGTGCTGGGAACTGCAAGAAATCAAATCCTTCCTTCCGACCCTTGCTGATTGTGATGATGTCAAATCGTGGGTTTTCAGAGCTCTCGCCAGGTGTCGCGTAACGGTTGAGGAAGCTCTGCATGTTAGCAACCATTGATTTAACCCTCGTTTGTTGAAGTGGGTCACTGATATCACCAGTAAAAACGAGCAATTTGAAGCGGAAGTCCGAAGGAAGAACGTCCTGGATCTCAAAGGGCCATGCGTCTGCAGCACGGATGAATTTGTATGGAGGGAAACGTTCGCCAACCACTAGACCACTAGCCAGCTCTTGGTTTCTGTCAAGTACTGCAACCGAAGGGTCATAATGTACCCCAATGCCACTGGTAAAGCCTCCGAACTTTTGGAATGTCCTACAACCTCGCCGCATTAGTAACAAGGCAATACTGTTGGTAGCATAATCTCACTTCATGAAATGTTCTGGTGCAACCCCATCGCTGTTCTCCTCGGTCAAGGGCTTCCCAGAAAAAAGGGTGGAAAACGTTTTATCAAATGCGATCAGGTCCAATGCATATTTACGGCGCTCTGATTCGTACTAACGACGATGTGTGGGTAAGTAGTCAAATAGCTGCACAAGAGCTTACCGTTGACAAAAGGGACGGTTCTGCCCAACCACGAACCACTAGGGCGATTTTCCAAGCTGAAAGAGCCCTTTGGCTTCAACTGATGCTACAGGCAAAAGAAAACGCACCTAGATTGTGGGCATCGTTCATACTTGCATTCATTCCTTGCCCTGAGAATTCCATTGTAAGCAGACTGATGGGGAAGCGCCAGATTTAAGATACTTGCCTGCTTTAGGAGAGTGTGTGTGGCAAGCATCTCCGGCGATAAGCACTCGATTTTCGATAGAAAACCTTGAGGCTACTCGTTGCCCGACTTGAGCAAAGTGTCAAATAAATATCGTATGGCAAGCGGGCGAGATGCATACTGATATATAGTGTCCACCACAAAATCCCAGTGGTCGGGTTAAGCTTGTAAGGGTAAAGCGATCTTCGTGCAACCTAAGGGGGATATCAATAACCGCCGATCCATTAAACAGGTATCACTTACTTTAAGCAGTTCCTCTGGACCTATTCTCTCCTTATCTACTCTACCTGTCTCTGGATCGATGATATCTTTGTCCTCTAGTTGCATATATACGCGTAGGCGATCTTGTTCTCGAGGGACGAGAAGAGCTGAGCCATGGTTGGAATGCACAAGGCTTTTATTTCTAACATCCGGGAAGTCGGTGTCAGGCACCATGTCCAAGACACCCCAGATGAATTCTATCAATCGAGATTGAGCTTGCTGAGGACTCTGACTGATATAGATACTCACCAGATTGTTCCCCATCCATCGTAATATCAAATTGTTTGCGGACCCATGAGTGAGCGCCTATACGTGAAAATGATTAGGCTGGCCAGATGTATATATGTGGAACACACCATCAGCCCCGACAACATATTTAGCATGGACAATCTCTTCTTGTGGTTGACCCTCAGGAACGTCCAGTCTTTGAAGCGCAACACGAACAGGATGCGATGCAGGATCCGTCAACTCATTTTCATCCTTGGAGATATCTATCGAAGTTGGCATCGTTGACCGCTCCACCTCGACCCCGAGCGCGCTCATGGAATCTAGGAAAATGGATTCAATGGCTCCTTGATGAAGTGCAACCTTCATTTCGTTCAGCTTATATAATTTGTCTCTCTAAATAATGAGCACACCTCAAATTGGTATCTTGCAGACGGAGCTGTCACATCCGGTGCTCGGCTGGTAAGCTGATGGCCGACATTTACCAACATTCCTTGTTAGTCGCACAAAGTTACGAACCTCGATACCGCCAGAGGAGGAAGGGTTATAGAAGGCCTGGGAAATAATGAGTCGTACACTCAGCAAGCCCCTGTTGAAGGACATACTGCTTGATGGACTTGAACAGACTCCCTTAGAAGACGCTCCCCAATACCATAGCTCTGTTATGGAGCCTTAGTCAATCAGCATTGAGCAAAGAAGCGTTTTTACCTGGAAAACCTCAATAGTACGAGGTGAAATTCCATCAGCCTGACCGGCGGCAACTTTAGCAGGCCTGACGGAAAATCAAGTAAGCAGGAATGCTAGCCCCAGCGCACATACCTTTTATCAACGACCCGAACATTTACTCTCGCATTTGCCAGAGCGTTCGCACACATAAGCCCAGCGGGGCCAGCCCCAATAACGAGAACATCGACCTCAGAGTAGGGTACAGCGGAGATGGGCATTGCAAATAATTTGACAATGGAGGGAAATATAGTGTCTTTATACAGGGGGTGCGGGTGCGGGAATTCCTATCCTTAAGAGAGTATTCTTAAGAAGAGCGCTGGCACGCGGACCTCACATGGGAGAGTAAGCACTAATCGATCATGATTGTAGCACAGATAGAAGTGGTAAATCAGCTACTAGCGCGAATTCAAACTAGACTTGCACTCACTAGAGCCATACCGAACGCCCGGAAATCAGGTAATCCGTATCCACAATATCCAGAGAGTTCGTGAGAGCAAATGACTGCAGATGGCGGATATATATAAAAACCTATCTCACAGTAGTGGCGGCGCATGCTTCAATCTCCATCTGCGAAATCTCCGAATAAAAGTATGCGGCAGGCGATCGAATTTCGGCCTCCTGCAAATGACAGTATACCCAATACTCGGATTTCCACTAGTGACAAGCAAAGAAGCTAGTCGATCTGGCAAAAAAAATTAACTGAGTTTTCGGTGATGCCTCGCCGCTCTGGGTTTTCATGACCAAGTTCTCACCAATACACTAGTCAATTACCCGTCCGGCCGGCCTTGTCATAGGCCATGAATAAACGGAGGGATTCCAATGGAAGATAACGAGACCTGGCTTGAGTCAGACTCTGTGAGAAACACTGTGCACTGTGGCATACATAGACGTCTATAATCACATGCAGAAGCTTAAACCTAAGATGCATATGGTGAGAGCTGAACCGCATTCAATATGGGCAACGCAATCCAGGTGATCAAGGATGTATTTTTTTTTTGCGTATCAGCGCTCTTCTACTGGCGCATTATCTCTTTCTCCTTGTGATGTGTGTCCCCTAGGACCTGCAGTAGACTTTCCAAGGCCCGAGCATTAGCAACCTACTGGTAATGACTAGTGCGGTTGCCAGCAGCCGCGTCAGAAAAGCTATACAAAGTCCTCTGAGAACCTGTCGAGATGAGTCTGTGACTCCGCGTCCGTGTTGGTCCTGCCTTGAAAATTTATCTGCGACCTAGTTCAATGAAAGGTACGGTAAGCATTGTTGGTTCTCGAGCACACTAGAAGTGCATGTGCGATACTTGCCGCACTGAGATAAAAACCTTTGAAGTCATATGACACTGAGTGTCAAGTGAATATTGATTATTTAATCTGATTGTTGGCGATATTCTCGGTTCTCGAACGTTGGCAGTGAATCTAACGAATGGCCCTGGGTAGATCCGGGCTCAATTATGTCGACTACAGTGACGTGCTATCTGGTGATGACTAAGCTGCCTAAACCTCCCAACTATCTCATAATTCGATAGCAATAACTATTTAACAACAAAGGCCCCACGATACGCTGCATCGTGCCCCTGATTGAATTTTGTATGCTCAAATACTCCTGATTTCATCATCATTGGGCGGCTAGACCCGCAGCGAGGCCTAGCGAAGCGCTGACTTCAATTTTGGATTTGGATATTACCCTCAATAACAGGCAGTTGGCATCATCCAGACGGTCCTTTTGTAAGTGACAGCGACATACAGCACATTTGGTGAGAGATCGGACCTGACATGAGATCCCGTCAGATCAGTCATCCTGACTTGGATAGTATAATGTTAATGTCAACATAACAAGTGAACAACAGAGAAGTATGGAACAAGTACTTTAATACACACAACTGATGGAGCAGTGGAGATTATCGTGTCATATACTTGTCCGGAAGTGCCCGCGGCGCGCATGAATATATCGGACAGTAGGAAAAACTAGACTTAGGGAGATAGTTCATGAGTCACATGGACCGGGTGAACGCGTAAGTACTTACATCGAAGTCGAACAAGTGTCAAAGCTACACTTCTCCACAAAGAACACATTGGGAATATTCATCCTTATCGACCCCTTCTCCGGTCAAGAGAATATGCTGAACCTGATCACAATGTAGGTGTGTGTTTATGTTGAAGTGCGATGGTGTACATGCACATACCTCATCAGGTGGGTTGAGGCCAAGCGAAGCAGCTCTCTCCCAGCGCTCAAGACGTGACATGCCAACACACGGGCCGTACTCGTAGGACCTAACAAAAGCCCAAATAACGATCAAGCTCCTTAGGAACGTCCAAAGTTCACATACATGTCAAATAAGCGAAGTATCTGATGGATTTTATTCTGCCCTTCGGCATGAACTAAACATATGTCGTCGCTTAAACCTCGTGAACGATAGAGGCGCATATAGCTAACTCACTCGGTTCAAGGTGGCCCATCTTGTCTCGCACTTGCCCATAGTGTTTGCGGTAGATCTTGCCCGACACATCTAATGTCGACCGTTGCTCCACAGGTTTAGCAGCAGGAGGGTCATCCTTTAGCTTCTTGGCAGAACTAGATATCGATGCTTTCGTGGTATTAGGAGCTCCACTCCGCTTCACAGAAGCTGGTGAGTACTCCTCTTCTGAGGATATCTCAAGCACCACGTTACTATCCTCTTCGTTGTGAATCTCCAAGTCTATTGCATCTTCAACTGTATGCTTTTCAATCAAAGAGGATGACCGTCGTGCCAGGGGAGGCCCCTTTGTCTTAGTAGTGGTGTGTGAGTTCGTGCGTTTGGTAGCAAATGCCAAGGTGCCTTGTGTAAGGGCCGGAGCACTACTGTTTCGCGAGCTTGACTTCTTTGTGGAGGACATTGTGGACTTAGTTCAAATTCAAGATTAGTTGACAGGGGGCCGTAACTGAGTTCTCACATTCAAGCGTTCTTTTGATGTCGACTACTCATATTGATTGAGTGCGTTCATTTCATAACGGCCGACTAGCTCAGTTGGTTAGAGCGTCGTGCTAATAACGCGAAGGTCTTGGGTTCGATCCCCACGTTGGCCATGATTTTTGCCCCTCTGCAACACCAAATGTAAACGCTAGTATAGTACAGCATTCCTGAAACTCGACAAGTCGAGTCTGAACCCGCCGCATGTACACTGTGATAGAGTCCCCGGTAAGCCTGACCGGGAGTTTGCCATGATAAAGAAGAAACGAATATTTTGCTTCTGTCTGGTCTGTTTACCACAGGCTCACTGACACTAAGTACTCTCGATCAAAGCAGCGTCTGCTCAAAAAATCTGATGCGGTAAGCTGATCCCCGCACTCTGCTGCGATATATGCCGCATGTGTCCCACCAGATTCAACACAAACACAAAAAAAATTCTCATATGGTTAAACCACTCAATGAAAGTCATGCTGCATGCCCGAATGAAACTGGAAGCTGGCCCCTTGCCCACCACCAAACCCTCCTCCTCCACCAAACGGCCCTCCACTAAAGCCGCCATGGAACTGGCTAAATATCTCTGCCAAATCAGCCGTATTAAATGCCCCAGCGCCGCCCATCCCACCCTCCGTCTGTCCATCCTCGTCTTCGCCCATGTCATAGCGTTCGCGGCGTTGGGGGTCGCTGAGGATCGCATGCGCTTCTACTACCAGTTTGAATTTTTCTTCGTCGCCTCCTTTGTCTGGGTGGTGTTTAAGGCTTTCGCGTCTGTAGGCTTTCTTGATTTCGACTTCGGTGCAGTCTTTCGCGACGCCTGAGAGGTGCGCGGTCATAATCAATTATGACACCTACTTCTAGCACAAAGAAGAGAAGGACGTACCGAGGATATTGTAATAATCCTTTGTCTTACTCCTCTTAAGCGCAGCCTCTGCTTTCTTAAGCTCGCTCCTCAGTGCCCTAACATCCGCATCTACACCCTCAAATTCAGCTTGTTGCATCGACGCTCTGAAATCAGCGATTGCAGCATCGTATTTCTCGAGATGGAGATTGATGCGTGCGCGTGTGCGGAGGGCTTTGAAGGAGGTGGAGTAGAGTGCGAGAGAAGCCTCTGTGTCTAGGAGTGCTTCTTCGTATTTGTCGAGCTGCGAATGATGTAAGAATGCGGTATGAGTGAGGCAGTGGAGGGGATGTACCTTTACAAGCGTCGTAGCGCGATTTGAGAGAAGAGTAGCGCGGATTTGACCGCCTTTGCCTTCTTCTTCGATTTCGCCTATTCGCTGAAGTGAAGGATCAGTATGAGTATGAATGAGTTATTGGAGTGAGGAGGGACATACGTCAAGCGCTTCTGTATATCGTGCGATTGCGTCTTGGAGTCTGCTACCCTTAAAGGCGGTGTTTCCCTCTTCCTTGAGGCGCTCTACGTCTTTTACGCGCTTGCGTAATTGTTGGGCAGGCTCGTGTCCAGGATCGAGGCGAAGCGCCGAAGCCACGTGTTGTAGTGCTTGCGATAGTTTACCGCTGAGGAAGAGCACAAGACCACGGAGTGCGAGTACTTCGGGTGAGTTGGATTCTAATCGAAGAGCATCGCTAGAAGATTGTCAATGAGAGATCGGTAGTAATAGGGTCAGACTCACTTTGCAGCAGTGTTGGCAGCATCCCAGTTCCCTCTAGAGAGCTCGAGTTCGACTCTCCATAGCCGCCACTGAGTTGGTATCTCGCCGCCTTCAGCTTCGATGCTTTGTAGACATTTATCTAATGCGAGGCGTGCCATGCCCCATTCCTTGCGTGTGCGGGAAGACTCAAAGTTGCGTAAATGGGTTTCTAGTTCGAGGACTTTGTCTCTCAGTTGTGCAGCGGCTACATTTGTAGGTTCGAGATTGAGGACAGAGCGTAGTGTTGATAATGCAGGCTCTGATAAACCAAGTGCGAATTGACAACGTGCAAGACGGATGAGAGTCTTCGATGAGGGTTCTGAGGATTGGAGCGTAGCTGCTTGTTGGCAATCTGATAGTGCAGGGCGGAAACGCTTTAAAGCCATGTAAGAGGCTGCGCGATTAGTGAGATATGATGGTTCCGCTGAATTGATATCTGGAAGGATGTTTCTATCAGTGGGGAAGGAGAGGTATGCTGTGTTTTTTGGATTATACCGATAGCTTTGGTATAGAGTTCGATAGCCTCTATGTATTGTTTTGCTTTGAAGGCTACATTACCTTGCTCTTTAACGTCATCTGCAGAAGGGCCCTTAGGAATGGGAGGTGATGAAGGACTCTGGGCGGGAGGTGGTGGATTTTTGCTGTTGAAGGAAGTCAATTGCAAGTGAATGAATTGAGTTAAGTCATACTTTACGCCATTTGCAGCAGCCTGCGCCTGCTTTTTCTTTGCCTGAGTCTTCTTTTTGGTCATTAGAGCAGTTGAATGAATCCCCTAAGGTAATTGCAATGAAAATTGAGGATCTTGAGGTCGAGAGTAAGTCACGTGGTTACACTGCTGTCACATGATCACATCTGTCACATGATCATCATGATGTCTAAAAATGGGCGCCTCCTGGCTTTGACCCTCATGCACCTACAATAATATGACTGACTTCATGCCAATCGTATCACCACCAACACCAGCTCCTTCTCCTCGTCCATCCCCCTTTCATTACTCAACATTTCAACCCAAATACAATCCTTTAATTCCATCTGAATTCTCAACTCTAGGTCCCGCCTCACGCAAACAATACCTCATCTCAATCCTCCATGAATGTTCCCCAGCAGAACTCCGCTTCATCTCACAAACAATAACCCCTATGCTAAAGCGTGATGTCCTAACAGAACTTCCAGCAGAACTCGCCCTCCACATCCTAGCTTACGTCGATGATCCATGCACTCTCGCTCGCGCAAGTCAAGTCTGTAAACGCTGGCATGACCTCGTCGCAGATGACTGGCTTTGGAAAGTCTTGTGCGATACATACAGTTTTAGAGCAGATACAGAGGATAAATCTGGTGCTAATCTATCCGAAGACGACGAATCTTGGGACGAGACGGATAAATTCACTTCGAATCCAATAGACCCGTGGCTCACAGCACGAGATCGACTCAAACGGCAAGAACTTACTTCCGTATCCCATTGGGGTCCATATTCCTCGGATGAACTTTTACATCCCAGAACCCAGTTTTCTCATCAAGAATATTTCAGGCGTGCTTATGGCACAAGTACGTCGCTTCTTACCGCCTGTGTCGTCACTAATTGATTATCTAGTGCTTAATCTAAGGAAGGGCGGCAACATCCTCCGTGCTCACCGCATGCCAATCCCAACACCAGACAGTGGTGTAGTTACATCCGTAGCCCTTGACACAGAATGGGTGGTCGTCGGCCTAGCAAACTCAAAGATCCATCTATTCAGCGCAATCACAGGCGTACTCAGTCGAACACTCATGGGTCACGAACTAGGCGTATGGGCAGTGCATCTCATCTGCCGCGGCGGCTATTGGGGTCGCGGAGAGATGGATGAAGACGGATTCCCAGACGACGCAGACGATCCAGTCGTACCCGCAGCCCTAAAAACTGCACTCGGCATCGACAGGCGCAGGCGGATGCAATACCCAGCAAGCGTTGGAGACGACTCTTCTAAACCGAGCGATATTTGCTGTACAAGCGAAGGATGGGGCCAGCCAAATTCTATCATCGTCAGTGCTAGTTGCGACAAGACGCTTCGCGTTTGGGACGCTAAATCTGGGTATGTTCTTGCGTTCGTTCTAGCCCTGGCTCTGGGCTTACGGGCGCTTAGACATTGTATTTACGTCCTTCGCGGCCACACTGCCACTGTCAGGTGTGCCCGAGTACTGCATAACCGCCCGATCGCAGTAACAGGCTCTCGAGACTCTACTCTCCGTGTATGGAACATCCAAAAGGGAGTCATACTCCGTGTACTTCACGGGCACACCGCGAGCGTAAGATGTCTTGACGTATGTGGCAATAAAGTTGTCAGTGGTAGTTACGACACCACATGTCGAGTCAGTGCCATTTCCAAATCTAAAGCGAGGATTTATTTTGACGATTTGCAGATATGGGACGTTGACACAGGTGAATGTATACGACTCCTCCGAGGCCACAGCCATCAAATATACTCCATCGCAATCGACGGCAACCTCGTCGCTTCAGGGGGCATGGATACCATCGTCAGGGTATGGGACGCAACCACAGGGTATGTCCCCTCCCTTCCTCACCCCCCCTCTCACACTTATTCATTTATAACAGAAACTGCATCGCCCAACTCACAGGCCACACTGCCCTAGTCTGCCAACTCCAACTCAGCACCAGCACCAGCCTCCTCGCCACAGGCGGCTCCGACGGCCGAGTGATCACCTTCTCCCTCCGCTCCTTCACCGCCCTCCAACGTCTCGCCGCACACGACAGCAGTGTCACCTCTCTCCAATTCGACGCCAACTTCCTCATTACAGGTGGGAACGACGGCCGCGTACGGGTGTTTGAGACGCAAACTGGGACGTGGGTGCGGGATCTAAGTGAGCGGTCCGAGAGCGTGTGGAAAGTGCTTTATAAGAAGGGGGTGTGTGCGATTATGTGCAAGAGGGCGGGGAAGACTGTTATGGAGATTTGGACCTTTAAGCCTAAGGAACGATGAGATAAGATGGTTTATTTATCGTATGATCATGATGTAGGAGTCAGTGTAAGTATAATTGTATGGAGTACTACGATTTGGACTAATTGGATTTTGGTTTTGGATTCAGGTGGTGAGCAAAAAGTAATGGCCAACGTGGGGATCGAACCCAAGACCTTCGCGTTATTAGCACGACGCTCTAACCAACTGAGCTAGTCGGCCGATACAATCGTGGCTGCCAACAACGAATTTCAGTCAGCCAGCAAGACCAAGTTGACTGCTCCCCCCAACAAGCAAAGTAGGTCAGAGACCCTACGTTAGACATAGTCCTATACACAGAGGGCTTACTCCCATTCGTCTGTATGTAACCTTTGTGTGTGACGGATGGAAAACACGTACTCCGTCAGCATCATGTCGGGCAAAGGCCGGCGCCGACTTTGTACAGGGGAGATCATGGTGTGAGGTGCGTGTGGGTGATATGGTTGGTCAGTAAATGTAGCGCGTTTGTCTCGACATTAACGCGTCCTTGGTACCGGTCTTGATTCCTAGGTCCAATTTATTCCTCTTTGAGCAAAGCTGCCATCGAATGTAGCCTCACATTACTGGAAACCCAACTGTCTATCGGAAAATAAACATATTCAAGCCACGTTCGAGCAACATCATCCATTTACGCTTCATAAATGCGGAACTAAAACACAGTCAGCCCGATATCCCAGCAATTAATCACATTGAGACGTACGATCCAATTTCTGCCTCCAATATTGGGCCCTTGACAGGCACATATAATGCTGTCCCCACACACAACCTTGATCCACGGGCTGCTGACCTACTAAAAGTTCGCAAAGTGACAGTGGTTCATCTTGTACATCAGACCGTCGCCCGTCGCCAGGCTTGCTTCGCTGTCTACTACGGTTGAAATAATTTGGCTCTTGGATCTCATAGGGCCAGAAGCATACTTACTACCCAGAAGAATTTGTTGTGTCGTTGATACCCAGTCAGCCCATCGAAAATGATGACCATGTAGCTGACATCGTGTTTACGCAGGATGGGTAGTAGGACGACGCCATGGCTTTTCCTACCATCGTAATGTGTGCTGTTGCACGAATCAACGTCAATTCGGGTTATGTCATAGGGGTAACTCACTGTTGCTCCAGGCGTTGTTGTCGACCAACGTCGGGCGATCCGACATTCGTGCGATCTGGTAGCCAGAGTCCCACTAACTCATGATAACTGCATGTTCTGCCTTAGCCAGTGGTGCGTCTTTCGTTGTCGGTTAGTGTGATGGACTAAAATAATCAATGTGGTTCTTGCTTCCATCTGAACCTGTCGAGCTTAGTACAACGAAGAGAATCAGTTCGGACACGTTCAAAAGAACATTAGGTGCGTATTGCTGCCGGCAAGGCGAAAAAGAACAAGTAGAATAAAAAGGAAAAGGAAGTGTCCGCATCTATGTACTGGCGGAGTCTTAGATGAACTTGTCTCCAGTATTGCCTCCTTTGCTGTAGCTGCCACCACTGCCCAGGAGGGTGTCTTCGATATGAGTGTCGTGATGGGTGTACAGCTTATTCCAGTTGTGGAGTGAGCAATTGAAAACTCATTCTTGTCATCATGATAACGAACATCAGTCAGCGAGGTTTTGAACCAGGTCCATGCATTCAAGCAGACTCAACAACGGCTACACTTCCGGTATTTACATGAGGTCGCTCAGCGCTGCCATTTCGGCTCCCCCACTCTCCTTGATACCAATCTCCCAGTCTAAAACGCAAGGTGTACGTCAGTCAGTGCGAACGTTCTTTTCGGGGAGGATGGAAGTACTCACAGCTGTAGATGATCGTAACAGCCATCAGGATACCCGTTCCACTTCCAATAGCGCCCATGAGATCAGCAGCGACAGAAAGCAAGCCCAGAATAGCGCCTCCGAATGCAGCAGCGGTAGGAATAACGCGCTTGAGTTCCTTGTACATTGAACCCTCACGATGCCCAGCCATGACCATCTGTTGGTCCTTGAGCTGTTTGGCGATCTCGCGTGGGCCACTGCCAGACACCTCGATCCAGGTTTTTGAGAAGAGTGCACAGGCAGAGACTACAAATGTGATATAGAGGATTGTGTGGATGGGGTCGAGGAAAGCTTCTTTGATTGTGTGCGGGGGTGATATGTAGTATGCGAAACCAGCTACAGCGCGAAGCTGGGGAGAGTCTTCTAGAGGCTGTGATGTACTTTTAGTGCCTATTTAAGCCATCAAGTCATAAATAACCGACCTCCCAGACACCAAGAATCCTGACCAAGATGCTGGAGGGGAAGCGCGTTGCAAGCATTTGCGACACAATAAACACGTTTGACACCAGTGCGCTCTGGAGCATGATGGGCATGTTGCTAGTATAGAACAGCTTGACGGGGTAACTGCCGCGCTGACCACGGAATCTGTTGCTCTTGACGGGGATCTCAATGCGGAAACCTTGCATATAGATGACAGCGGCGAACACGACGACAGTCGCAAGGAGGTTCATGATGTTTGGGAGTCTGTCACGCCAGAACGCCTCACGGAGAGCACGTCCCTTGTCGTTCCACGTGAAGAGCAGGTGGAAGAGCGCAATAACGGCACCTTCAAACTCAGGGCCACGACCGGTGTTAACAGTTGTAGGTGAGAAGGCCTTCCAAATGATGGATTCGCAGATGTTGGTTGCGATGAAAAGGGAGATACCGGACCCGAGACCATAACCTTTCTGGAGAAGTTCGTCGAGGAGGATAACGATGAGGGCAGCAGCAACAAGCTGAATGATGAGCAGAAGGCAAACACCAGCACCGAGATCACTTGGTTGCCCGTAAAGACCTGTCAAGACGTATACGGTAGCATGGCCGAGTGAAATGATTAAAGCAAACACTGAAAAGAGCATCTATCAGTAAAGTTCGGAAAGCGGCCAAATGACACGTACATTTTTGTGCACCACTGAACAGTGCCCGGTCTTCCTTCAAGCTGAAGTCGACCTCGATTAAATTTGCGCCAGCTAATAGTTGCATAATCATTCCGGACGTAACAATAGGGCTTATACCGAGCTCCATGAGGGTTCCACGGTTGGAAGCGAGGATAACACGCATCCAGTAAAGAGGATCAGACGAATCTGAGGACATGATACCATATAATGGTACTTGAGAGCAGACCAAGAAAATGAGGAGCGTGACAGCGGTCCATAACAGCTTTTGGTTGAAAGGAACCTAAAAATGAAGGAAGGTGGTGAGTTTTGCGTGTTATAACCTACAAACGCATATATAGCACATACTTTGCGATCCGGTGAAGAAACCTCAGGCAGGAGTGGAAGAAACGGTCGGACGAGATTCAGAAACCGGACTGTAAGCAACTACAATCAGTAGTAGTCGACCAAAAGACTCTGTTTGAGACTCACAGCCGCTCATTGTAGCTTGAAGTCCAGGAGCGGACGAGTGAAGAAGAAGAAGAAATGAAAGGTGTTTGTGATTTTGTAGGATTAATGCAAACCGAAACTCCTTACGTGGCACATGACAAACATTCACAAATACTCGAAATGAACATTTAAACCACACTTAAATGCCTTGGGTGGCTTAAACTTTAAGTTTAGTGCAAAAATTACAACATTTTGGGCTATCCTAAATATCAGAAACCCCAATGTGAACCTCTAGCTTGATGATCAGTCAGTCACCATTTGCCCTGCCTTATGGTTCCAGTTAGTCCCACAACTCTGTATTTCCAAAATCTGGATACGGCTCATTGACTCTGAAGTTGCTGATAGCTACACATGTGAATGTAAGGTGTTTACTTTGCCAAGGGCCCAAACAATCATCCATGGCAATAGCCAGACCATCATTACATAGTCATCTTAGTTGGAGATATATCAGTTAGGTGTGCTGCTGCTGATGTTTGAGAAAGACTAGTGTTGACTGTAGGGCAAGTGCCAAGTTATCATAATGCCAGCTGGCATCTCTTAAACACTACCATTAATCAATGTCTTAAGCAGTGCAGAAATCAACAATGATAAGATAGAGGGTGTGTGGAGAAACAGGGCTAAAATTATGTGTTGAGGCCTTGAGGGAGTAGGTTATGAGGCTCATATTGTTGAGGCTGGCCAGATTACAGTTTGCATATATTAACATACTGACCAGTGGTGAGACACTTACCAGTCTTATCCAGTGCTTAATATTTGAACATTTTCAAAGATGTCAAGAGGTGTGCCAGTATTCGTGGTGCCAATGAATGCAAACCATCAAAAACTTTGGAGAATTGGAATGGCTGGCTACATATCTCAGCCTGGTAGCATTTACACACCCACTTACCATGCAGAGACCAGTGACAAGTCTATACATATGAATCTGATAATATTGACCACTTCAAGCTGAACTACACTCAGATTAGAACTTGACTCCTTGTCACTATACACCATGTAACCCTCACCTTCATGCACTCCCAGATGAGAAACAAGGTACACCCTTGTTAAGGTTGTGTGAACACTTATCACCAATCTTCATATTGTTGAAGAAAAGAGAAGTGATGGTATTGATGTAGCAGAAGTACTCACTCCCATCTCCTGGGGGGAAGTCCTGTGCATTTGAGTCCGCATGTTTAGACTAAATTGCACAGTACTATGGTTTTGAGCGAATTAGCAGTGTAATGTGGAATGAGGTAAGCCTTCTTGCCCAGAATTTATGTAATAATAATACAGTGACACTTAATGAAAGTGGTTGAATTTGTACCTGAAACCCTCATCAATGTTCTTGTTCTTGGTTCATTGAAGACAAGATCAATGCAGAAAATTTATCTTGTGGTGTCTGATTCTGAGAAGGATTACTATCAAAGTGAGCCCCTCAAATTTCAATTTCATGCTTGCACTGCAAGCTTCCTATGCAACATTTATGACATGCCCATTTTCTTTGGTTTTGAGCACACAGGGACCATGATAAGTGAATTGTTTAGGGGTAAGTCCAATGAAGAGGACCATGAGCTTACTGGCAAGTGGAGTCTTCATGTCAGCTTGATTCTGTGGGAGATGCCTCGTGTTGTGATCATAGAAATTGTTAGTTAGTGTGGAGACCTCCATTAGTACTTTGGCCATGTTTAAATAGACCTTGCACTCAACCATCTTCCTCTAAGACTTACAATATGGCATACTCAATCCACCGAGATCAGCTACCATTTTAAAGTCAAACCTTCAAATACCCACCCTGATTCCACCACTGCCTGGGTGTATGGAACAAACAGTGAGTTGAAAATATGAAAGATATAAGTGAACTGAAAAAAGGGAACCAAGGCACTGAGGTATCTAGAATAAAGTACATTTGAAGATTGTTTGTAACAAGGAAGGGAGATGCAGTAGAATGAAGTGCTTGAAATGAAGACTATCACAACAAAACAAATACTGACTGGAGGATATCATAAGTCCAAAGAAAAATGTGCTGGCCTGACCCAATCCACATTTGGAATGTGTGATTTCTCCCTGTAAGTCAGGGGAAACCAAACCTCTGCTGTGCCAGTGTCTTGGCCATCTCTCAAGTCTGGCAGCCATTCAGGTATTTCTTGGTGTGTGGCTGCTACAATGTGTTTTTGTCATATCCCACAATCCAGACCTACATTCCATCATATTCCCACGCCTTCCAAGCCTACATCCAGACCCCACTTCATATCCAACTCATTCCCAGATCCCCTTCTGCTGTGTGCTCCACACCTCAGCAGGATTGACTATGCTCCAGATTTACCCCTGAGCTCTGGACCATTAGATCTCCACTGCTAGCCTGATCCATACCCCCCTGTCCCATCCACCCTATGCACACTCCATCCAGCAAGACATCTGGACTTCACCTCATCTCAGATTCTGGACTATATCCACCTCCTCATATCCCAGTCCTGTATCCACCTTGTCTTCCAGATCCCCAGATCTCCGGATATTAACTCTGGACCTATTCCCACCCTCTGTCCGATATCCTGCACCTATCCCCATTTAGGCATCTCTGCCTTTCTGGCTTTCGGTTACCTCTTGTTCCATCTTGCTTATTGATCCTTGTACAAGTCTTCATCTCTGAATTCATTTACTTATGTTCTGTCTTACTTACTAATATGTTTCCACATGCTCATACATAGCCTTGCTCCTTTGCTTACTGATCACCTCAGATATTATCCAGTATATAACCCCTGTAGATACTCCTGTAGTTTCCTTAGTTTGAATATCATCTTAGACTTTGCTCTACCTGCCCAATCCTCTCTCGGACTTTGGTCCAGCTAAGTCTGTCCTATCCATTAGGCCTAGGGATTAATTCCCTAGGCCAGAGCTCTGCCTTTCCAGCACTCCTCCTCTTTCCAGACTTAGGTCCAATCCCTGTCCCTCTGACTCTACCTTAGGGTAGTCTACCTCTGTTTGTTTCTACATTGGACTTCATCCAATGTAGCCCCTATTCCTTCCAAACCTCTGGACCTCCTGTCCCTTGTACCTCCAGGCATCCTGTCCTTCAGACGTTCTGCCCTCCATACCTTTGGACCTCCTACCCTCTGTACCTCCGGACATCCTGTCTTTCTGTCCTCCATCATCCTGCCCTCCTGTTCCTCCTGTCCTTCTGTCCTCTGTCATCCTGCCCTCCTGTTCCTCCTGTCCTCTGGACCTTCGGACCTCCTATCCTTCCATCCTGTTTCCTGTAGAAGTATTACCTTGCAGTGGGAACTCTCCTGAGCACTTCCTGTGTTCCTCCAGAACTCTCCTGTGCTCCTCCAGATGTTTCCCACGCTCCTCCGGAAGTCCTCTAGCACTCCACCAGAGTAGCCAGCCTCTGGAAGTCCTCCGGTCTTCATCGGATCACCATTGGACCTCATCTGAAATGAAGGGCCCATACTTGGGTAAGGGGCACAGTGTATGAGCTGAGGCCAAGCCCCTCTGAGTCAGTCTCTCTCTCCTTTGAGCAACATGGTTCTTAACAGTTTTAAGCACAATGTTCTCAGATAAATCAGAGTAAACCTACCACAAGAGTATGCATTGGTGAATTCTGATGTGCCACATTGGTGCAAGAACACTTTATGATCTGCAAGCTCACAGAACACAAACTGTGATGATGGGTTAGGGTCTAGCAGCTACTGTAGTAAAGATAAATGATAGTGTCGGAAATGAATGATACAAAACTTACTCCTGAAAGTAAATTGGTGATATTTTCATGGAAATGTTGAAAGGCAGGGAACTGTTTGGATTTTCTGTCTGGGCTGGAGAACCAAGAAACATAGTGCAATATATGACTCTCTGCACCAAAGAATGCCTGACAAGATGGTATCAGTAAGATAGGAGTGGAGGAAGACATGATATGTGCCTTATGTGTCTTCAAAACAAGCTCATAGATGACACAGCCTAGTGACCACCAATCTACAGGTACTCTGTACCTCATAGAACCTGGGTTGGTTCTGTTGCACAAGACCTCTGGTGCCATGCAGTAGGCCATTCCCACTACACTTGCTGTATACCTCCCCTGTGACTCCAAGGGCCCCTCCTCTTTCTTTACATAACACAAGCCAAAGTCAGTGACCCTAACATTCTCTCAAACATCAATCAGGATGTTTTTGGTGTGACAATCATATTCCCACTAGGCTTGCAATGGCCATCTTTTGATATAGGTGATGGAAAGCTACAAAACCATCAACCACTTTTCCTGCACTCAACCCACTCTGGACGCATATTCCTGCACTCTGCAGACTTGCACATTCACTCCTGCACTGCACACATACCTGCAGTCGATTTCCTGTGCCTTTGGACTACCTTACAGATGTCCCGCATCAGTCCATTGTCCATCCTACCTCATTGGTATGTATTTTGCCTTGCCTTGTGTGTTGTAACAAGTGTTGCAGTCTTATTACATGTCTTTACATATTCCTACTGCCTGTTTGTCCTGTCCCTTCCATTTCTGAGAGGGTTTAGCTAGTATAAAGTGCCTAGGGTGACTACTTCATATTTACTTCCCTTCTATGGTATTTCCTTCCCTTATGTTTTACTTAAGAGCAGTCACCATTAGTGCGCGCTTTTAGCCCCTATTGGTTACCTTATACCTGGACACCTTGTCTTGACTTTCCTTACCCATGCAATCAATACCCTTGCCCTCACTTGTTACCTGTGCTGTTAAGGTCGCGTGCTTGAGGGGGTCGGATCACAAGGGCTTGGCCTCAGCTTGTACGCTGTGCCCCTTTCCTGAGTATGTGCCCTTAATTTCCGGGGGCTAGAACAGTCGTCTGGAGTTTCTGGGATTTGACTGGGGCAGATAACAGATGTCTGGATCTGAGACGTGAGATAAATCCAACGGACGTCCGGATATTACCTGGGCAAGCGGATAAGACTAATCCGGACAAAGTCTGGACTAGAAACTAATAGAGGATGGACTACCCTTAAGGTAGAGTCGGAAATATAGTCTAGGATGCAATC